AACGCTGAGTTACAGTATAAGGAACAACTGAAAATTATTTCAGTTCTTAACAAAAAAAAAGAAAAAAAAAACAGAACTTGAAAAGAGTAATCGTTCGCGCCTGGAAAATGCATTTCTTGGTGATAAGCACACATTTTATGAACCAGTTCTGGCGTACATTAGAATGTTCCTTTAAATTTTCCCCTTCCTCTCTGTTTATGTTTTCCCTTGACACATCTGACACCTTACCGTGACAGTCACAAAGAGAAAGGTCTTTGATTAAAGTCATGGTTGCCCAGTAATGTCCAACAGCTGTCAATCCAAGGATTTGAGACATACGCTTCCTCTTCTGTTTTGCATATTAAATATGTATAATATTCTGCCGTGTATATAAATCTGGCGGTTTCAAGAATAAATAATTATTTATTCAAGGATATGATTAGTATAACTGATCATAATGATCTATCCATTATTGACATATTTAAACTTTATATGTGCGTCTTTCAGACTTGGTTAGATTAACACATATCAATAAATAATTTTGCCACCAACCAGGCCCCGTAGATTTGTTAGAACGAACACATCAATAATCAATTAACCAATAATTGTATGTATACTTCTATAACTTCCGGATCGCCCTCAATCTATCTACATGAGGAAAGAGAGTGGGGGAGTGGAAGCAGCGAATGAGAGGGAAAGATTATATATATATACATATATATATATATATATATGTGTGTGTGTGTGTGTACATATATATATACAGATGCAGACATTCATACACACCCATATATATATATATATATATATATATATATATATATATATATATATATATATATATATATATATATATATATATATATATATATATATATACATATATATGCATTATTCATATATAGAAATAAGATCAACTACAGCTTGTTCTAAAAATGACACTTAAAAGAGAAAGTAACTTAGACGGAAAATTCTTGATTATGCCGCCATTGATTTTTACCAAAATATAAATCTGGCCCTGTTATTTTTTTATTTTATTTTTTTTTAAATATTACCTTTTATAAAATAAATACTACTTACTCAAGTCAATATATATGACTATGAAAAAATTTTAAAATTAAAAGAAAATGCTTAAATTCATATTTTGGTATTTAAAATATATCATACATAAATTTTAAACTAAAATAATACAAATAATAATTAAATAAATAATAATTACATTATAAAAAAATCAACACAATAGCAACATTGATTTACTTTCATTTATTAGGCATTAAATTATATCACTTAGCATCTTCCATAATTTAAACTAACTTCTTAAACTTAAAAATTCAGAAAAAATACTTGTAAAATAAAATCCTTAAATTTCCCATCAGAGGACTAAACGCGGCAGCAAAAGTTTTCTTTTGTCATTCTTTTTATATATATATATATATATATATATATATATATATATATATATATATATATATATTCATACACGTTTCATTAAATAATATATACAAGTGTTGTCTATTTATTTTATGTAAATTTTTTCGTAACATCTGATAAGTTTAATAACATTATCGTTGAACGAAGAAAGAAATTCACGATATTGAATCATGTTTTTTTTTATACAATCTAAGCTTTCGGCTTACTTAAGCCATTATCAAAGATGTCAATTACAACATATTAAGCAATATACAGACAAGACAGTGATCATATATATGTAGTTACCTGCTTTATTCATTCTCACTGTTTTTTTTCTTTTTGTCTGTCATAAACTCGTTTTGTTTAATTAATATTTTTATGAAGATAAATTTTGTGTTGCATATATCATAAATAAAGACATATTTTTCTTTTTTTTTCAGAAGGTCCGTCCTCCGTGAGTCCTGGAATGCCTCCGAGTCCTCTTGAACCAACACACCCACACCTACCTCTGCCAGAGAAAATGTCTCCGCCGGACTGCAGCCGCCTGTCCCCAGGGGTCGATGACCCGTCCCCTGATGTATCAGATTCGCCGAAGTCTTCCCCGATCGACAGAGACCTTCCCGGAGACGGAGTCTCCGACGGCGACAAACAGAAAGACGACAAATCGAGCAACCCGAACAGCAGCGAAGATGACAGGAAAAACAGGCGGAAAAAGAAAACACGGACTGTATTTTCTCGCAGCCAGGTGTATCAGTTGGAATCGACTTTCGATGTCAAACGGTATCTGTCCAGTTCGGAGCGAGCCGGACTGGCCGCCTCTTTGAGACTAACAGAAACTCAGGTGAAAATCTGGTTCCAAAACCGTCGGAACAAGTGGAAACGTCAACTCGCAGCTGAACTGGAGGCAGCTAATATGGCGCACGCAGCCCATCGAATGGTTCGTGTGCCGGTGCTCTATCATGACGGCGGGGCGGTGAATGTGTCGTCGGGACCTGATTCTTCAAACTCCTACAGCAGCTCTCTAGCATCATTAAGAGACCCTCGTTGCCTCACGCACGGATACACGCCTATCTCACCGTCTCTTAGGCAATCTTTATCAGGGATGGTATAA